GGTTGCAGCCGTCATTGTTGTTTGGTGGGCCCGGGCTGGGGATTCCAACCCGCCACCTTAGGTGTATGTGGCTGGCGCCTTAGCCGCTTGAGCCACAGGCACCGAGCCAGGAAGGCTCTTTTTATCCCTTCCTGAAAGACTGGCTGGTTTACTTCCTCACTTCCAGGAGTACACAGGAGAGGTCTAGTCCCCTGTCCCTTGCCACACAGTAACCCCAGGTTTTTAGGTAAAGAATCAAAGTGCAGGAGGGGACGTGCCTCGTTACACTAATGCTCAGATGTCCATGCTCACTGGGGAGGGAACCTCTGGACACCCAGCCTCCTTTCCCTGGTGTGGGATGCGTGAGTCGCTAAGAAAAGTCGCTTGTGTGGAGAAAATTCTGAGTTCTATTCTTGGCTCAGCCACTAACTGAGCCTACTATGACCATGGGCAAATCAATTCCTCTTCTGGGCCTCAGTTTTCCCATGACAAATGGTCTACTTTATTTTTTATTTTATTTTGAGACAGTCTCACTCTTTCACCCCAAGTAAAGTGCTATGGTGCCATAGCTCACAGCAACCTTAAACGCCTAGGTCCAAGTGATCTTCTCTCCCCCTCCCAAGTAGCTGGGACTACAGGAGCCCACAATACCAGATAGTTTTTCTATGATTATGACTATTAGTATTAAGACAGTCTCACTTTGTCACCCTGCATAGACTGCTATGGCAGCATAGCTCATGGCAACCTCGAGAGCTTGGGCTCAAGTGATCTTACCTCAGCCTCCCAAGTAGCTGGGACTACAAGAGCCCACCACAACACCCAACTAGTTTTTCTATTTTTAGCAGAGACGAATCTGGCTGTTAGTCAGGCTGATCTTAAACTCCTAAGCTCAAGGGATCCTCATGCCTTAGCCTCCTAAAGTACTAGGATTATGTCTGGTCAAGAGTGGTCCACTTTATTTATTTTTTTAATTTATTGGTTTTTTTTTTTTTTTGAGACAGAGTCTCACTGTGTTGCCCTCAGAGTGCTACGGCGTCATAGCTCACAGCAATCTCACACTCTTGGCTCAAGCAACTCTTGCCTCAGCCTCCAGAGTAGCTGGGACAACAGGTGCCCACCACTATGCCTGGCTATTTTTTTTAGAGACAGAGTCTTGCTCTTGCTCAGGCTGGTCTTGGACTCCTGAGCTCAGGCAATCCACCTGCCTCAGCCTCCCAGAGTGGTGGGATTACAGCTGAGAACCACCGTGCCCAGCCTCCAGACCAACTTTGACCATCGAGGCCCTACCCACCCTTATTAAATTCACTGCTGTTTCACGTCCCACCAGCATCTGTAGTAACCACCAGAGGGCGCCCCAGACCAGCATTTGGCCCAGCTCAGGTGTAAAGGGCTCTGGGGTGGCCAAGGCGGGACATATTTTCCAGGAGCTTTTATTGCACACAGTTCCTTTTGGATCTACCTGCCCAGGCCTTCTACCCTGTTCTTCTGGCTCAGCCCTGATCTCCAAGGAGGGAGGAATGGAGACCAGTGACCTAGCACTCATCCCTGCCTTCTTTGGGTTGGCTGTCTAAGGTTTAGGCTTCTCAGCGTCAGGGCCAATACCCTAGAGTTTCTCAGCCTCAGAAGGTTTCCGCCATCTCTGGGCCTCTCACTGGTGCCCTTTCCCCCACTGAACTGCCTTCCTCCACTGAACTGCCCAGCAAAAGGACCCCAGGCACAGTGTGTGCCCAGACACCCAGAGGGGGACATCACAGCCATCTATGGACAAGGACACACTCATGTTGGCTGTCCTGGACAGTACCGCCTGAAACCACAGCTTCTGGGACACCTCAAGTGATAGACCCCAGGACCACAAAAGCAGGCATCACAGATGTCAGGGACCACAAGAAACTTCCCCACTGTGACCACATGACCTTCCCATGCTGATTTTACCCTTCAAATACAATTTTACCCTTCAAATAAAAATTGTATAAAAAATATACAATTTGCTTTGCAAATTGAGCTCAAAGACAAAGCAGTATCTCTCCCCTCCCCTGTGTGGAGGGATGCTGTCCCCCACCCCACCCCCACACCATACTTACCCCATTTGCTTCACATTCTAGTTGTTTATGTGTATGTTTTCTCTCCTTTTCCAGATTGGGGTCCCCTTAAAGGTAGAATGAATCTCAAATTCATCTCTGCCCTCTCCGTGATGGCTGGTTCAGGACCCTATATCTAGTGGAAGCTCGACAAATGACAACAAGGGAAGCCAAATCCCTTTTGTCCCTCCCACTCAAGGGATCCAGGGCTTCTCCTGCCCTTTCCATGGCTGCATGCCTTTGGGCAAGTCACCGAGCCTCTCTGATCCTTTGCTCAGGGAGCTAGGTGTGCACAGAGGTCACATGGAGGGGGGCTGAGTGCCAGGCCTCAGCCCTGAATCCCCCAGGCCTTTCCTCTGGGCTGCTACTCAATTCAGACAAGACAAGAGGCTGTGCTGAACACTTCACCTGGGTTCTCTCCCCTGGTCCCCTCAGTGACTCCTGGAGGCAGGCAGCATTACCGTCTCCAACCTTGGAGGCAGGGAAACTGAGGCACAGAAAGATAAGTTCCCTTGCTAGAGGTCATGTGGTTGGCAAATGGTGGTGCAGGGACTTTAACCCAGATGTCTGGCCTCCGGAACCTATGCTCTTAGCCACTGAGCTACACTTCTGCCTTGAGCCAACTTGGGGCAACTTTGAGGTCTTTTTTCTACCACATAGGAATCATCAAGGGCCAAAGATCACTTGCTCAATTTTCTCTTTTTTTTTTCTTTTCTTTCTTTTATTTTTTTGGCTGGGGCTGGGTTTGAACCTACTGGTGCCCTACTCCTTTGAGCCATAGGTGCTGCCCTCAATTTTCTCTTTTCAAAAACGGAATATTGGACCAAGCGAGGTGGCTTACTCCTGTAATCATAGCGCTCTGGGAGGCTGAAGCTGGGGGACTGCCTGAGTTCACAGATTGGAGACTAGCTTGAGTCAGAGTGAGACCTCATCTCTAAAAAATAGCCGCACATCATGGCAGGCACTTGTAGTCCCAGCTACTTGGGAGGCTGAGGCAAGAGAATAGCTTGAGCCCAAGAGTTTGAGGTTGTTGTGAGCTGTGACGCCATAGCACTCTATGGAGGGCGACATAGTAAGACTCTGTCTCAAAAAAAAAAAAAGCCTGGAGTATTGAGCCCAGAAAGCACATGGTCCTCCATCTCTCTCTTCCTCTCCCACAGACACCAGGGCTGACAGGTTTTGTCAGGGAAATTGAGTAACGCTTAAAGCCTTCTCAGAACCTAAGACTCTCTGTAAGTTGTCTGCAGGGGCTTTGTTCCTATCTGCCAGTGTCCATCTTGGCCTGGGGTGGGAAGGTGTACCTTGGCGTCCCAGAACATCCACCCCCAGGCTGGTCACCCGCCAAGCTCTCTTCCCCAGCGCCAGCCTAGCCCCGGCCCTTATCAGGAAGGGATTTGGGTTGGGGGGGGGGGAGTGGGAGGCCCCAGGCTTAGGCAAGGTGGGTGGGAGAGATAGGGAAGTGGGGAGGGGTCTGGGCCCTTCTGGGAGGGGTGGAGGATGGGCGGGATGCCCAGAACCGGCTCTGTGGGGGCTTTGGCCAAGCTCTGTCCTTGCTGGCCTGGCCCCTGACAAGGTTCCAGAGCCTCTCCTGCCTTCCGTCCTTGCCAGGCAAGACGCCGCACCTTTAATTAGCAAGCGGCAGCCTCTCCCCAATTCATCACAGTCACTGTTTAATTAGTGAGCACAGGCACCCCCACCCCCCAGCTCTCGGTGGAGCTGCCTGCCTCTTCACTGAGGCTGCCACCGCCTCACGGTGTCCCTTGTCACCCCCACACTTAGTCTGCTCCCCAGAATGGGAGGTGGGGGCGGGCACGCCTGGCTGAAACCTCAAGGAGATCTGGGCACTGGTGCTTGTATTCGAGGCATCCAGCAAACATTAGTGCCTGGAGTCTGCACTAGGCTGGCGCTGGGTGGAGCCCTGGCCCGATGAGGGCGGCAGACTGTGGTCCTGCCCTGCTGCTGGGGAAGGGCTTTTCCCTTCTGGAGCTGCTGGGACAGTGCTCTGGTCTGGCACTGGGTGTTGAGAAAAGGCTACAATAACCCTCCATGTTGCTCCCACGCCGTGGCCAAAAAGGGACATCATTTCTTCCTCTTCCTCCCTGTCCCAGAGCCCAGCATACTCCCCTGAGAGTCTGCATCTCAGGAGAGGGGGACCCATTCTCCCCCTCCTTCCCCCTCCTCAGCCCCAGGCTATGGGCCAAGGGATATGATGAGGGGCATCTCAGGCCCCCTCTGTCTGCAGGCTCTGGAGTGAACCCACGGTTTGGGCTAAACCAGCTGCCTTCTGTCTCCCTGAAGAAGGGCAAGGCCGGGTCCCTGGGAGGGGAGCCCCCAACCCCTTCCTGGCAAAGTTCCAGGCCCAGGCTCCACCCAGCCCTGCACTCCCCTGGGCACCTTGTGGCTCCAGGCAAATCCCAGGGATCTGGGGCCTCCATGTTCTGGGTGCAGAAGGGTGTGACCCACAGGCTCTCGCACATTTGCCCTGTCACCCTGAGGGGCAGGTGGCATGTCATTCGAGGGCAAGGGGTGCACTAGAACCCCTCCACTCCAGCACTGACCATCTGTGTAGCCTCAGGCCAGCCACTGAAGTGCACTGGGCCTCAGTTTCCCCACCATTAGTAGCTGTTATTGTGAGGGCTAAATGACTTACAGGGTTTGAAGCATTTAGAGTGGCTCCTGGCAGAGATTCCTCAGGAATCATTGGTTATTTTTGTCATTATTTGCCCTCCTTTTAGCCAATCAGTATTCCTTGCCAGGCATGAGAGAGTTAAAGGTAAGAGAGACACCTCCCTACTTTTTACTAGAGTTTATCTTCTTTTTTTTTTTTTTTTTGAGACAGAGTCTCAAGCTGTCGCCCTGGTTAGAGTGCTGTGGAGTCACAGCTCACAGCAACCTCAAACTTGGGTTTAAGCAATTCTCTTGCCTCAGCCCCCCAAGTAGCTGGGATTACAGGTGCCCACCACAACGCCCAGCTATTTTTTGGTTGTCCTTGTTGTTTGGCAGGCCTGGGCTGAATTTGAACCTGCCAGCTGCAGTGTATGTGGCTGGCGCCCTAGCCGCTTGAGCTACAGGCACTGAGCCTAGCATTTACCTTCTAATGGCGGCAGACAACTGAAAACAAGTAAATAAAATCAAGGAAAAATATAATTTTTTTTTAGTAAAGCCTCCAGTTTAATTAATGGTAATGTACCAATGTTCTTTTTTTTTTTTTTTTTTTTTGAGACAGAGTCTCACTGCGTCCTCCTTGGTAGAGTGCTAGGCATCACAGCTCACAGCAACCTCAAACTCTTGGACTTAAGCGATTCTCTTTCCTCAGCCTCCCAAGTAGCTAGGACTACAGGCACCCACCACAATGCCTGGCTTTTTTGTTGTTGTTGCAGTTGTCATTGTTGTTTTAGCTGGCCTGGGCTGGGTTCCAACCTGCCAGTCTGGGTACATGGGGCCGGTGCCCTAACTACTGAGCTACGGGCGCCACCAATGTTTGAGGAATGGGCGCCACCAATGTTTGAGGAATGTACCATGGTGAGAAAGTAGGTTGACATTAGAAAAAACTGGGTGAAGTGTTAATGGGAACTTTCTGTACTGTCTTTGCAACTTTTCCACTACAAAATAATTTCTAAGGCTCGGCACCTATAGCACAATGGTTACAGCGCCATCCACATACCCCGAGGCCGGTGGGGTCAAACCCCACCAGGGCCAGCTAAACAACAATGGTAACTGCAACAAAAAATAGCTGGGGATTGTGGCAGGCATTGTGTAATCCCATTTACTTGGGAGGCTGAGGCAGAAGAATTGCTTAAGCCCAGGAGTTTGAGATTGCTGTGAGCTGTGACGCCCCAGCACTCTACTGAGGGTGACATAGTAAGACTCTGTCTCAAAAAAAAAGGACTTGGTGCCTGTAGTTCAGCGGCTAGGGCACCAGCCACATACACCAGAGTTAACAGTTTCAAACCCAGCCCAGACCTGCCAAACAACAATGACAATTACAACAAAAAAATAGCCGTGTGTTGTGATGGACACCTGTAGTCCCGGCTACTTGGGAAGCTGAGGCAAGAGAATCTCTAACCCAAGAGTTTGAGGTTGCTGTGAGCTGTGATGCCACGGCACACTATGGAGGGCGACATAGTGAAACTCTGTCTCAAAAAAAATTAAAAATAATAAAAACAATAATTAAGTGAATGAGATGAGGTCTATATTAACCAGTGTGATGTAAGAATTGCTAATTTTATATGAAACCAGCACACTGTACCCCATAATTGCATTAATGTATACATGATCTATGTGTTTATGATTTAATAAAAAAATTATTATTTCTAAAATCATTCCCTAAAAAAGTAGTTTATTGTAAAAAAAATGCATTTCAGGTGATGGTGAATACTGTGAAGAAGATGAAGAGGAGTGAGAGAGCATAGGGACTGAAGGCCCTGAAGGGACAGGCCAGGACACTGACAGCCCAGGGCCTCTGGACAGCACGAGACTGTGTGTTAGGCCAACAACCAGCTCTGTGCACTATGTCATCCCCTGAGGTAATGGTGGTAATAGGCTCCGTGCCTGTGGCTCAAGCGGCTCAGGCGCCAGTCATATACACCTGAGCTGGCGGGTTCGAATCCAGCCTGGGCCAGCCAAACAACAACGGCTGCAACCAAAAAGTAGCCAGGGGTTGTGGTGGGTGCCTGTGGTCCCAGCTACTTGGGAGGTGGAAGCAGGAGAATTGCTTGAGCCCAAGAGTTGGAGGTTGCTGTGAGCTGTGATGCCACAGCACTCTACCCAGGGCGACAGCTTAAGGCTCTGTCTCAAAAAAAAGGTAGTAATACGTGTGTGCACATGTGCAATGCCACATTCTGAAGGCTCCAAATAATATATGAGGACAAGTTAGGGTCCCTTACCCTTTCCTCTCCTCAATCCAGTTTCCCTCCCCCATGATGACCTCTGGGACCTACATCTTATGCTTCCTCCTGGGGCAAGTCTGGACAGCCCCATCTTGATCACAACAGCAAACAGTCACATGGGCCTGCTGGGGACCGCCTGCTGGGAAGCTCGAGTTGCACGGTGCAGATCTCATGCCAGCCCTTGGTGTGTGATAGCAAGCGCTCCGTTTTAAAGTGGAGTAAATGGAGGCAGAGTAAGTCAGTCACTGAAGGCCACACAGCTAACAAGAATTTGAACTCATGGACTTTCTGAGGGCATTGTGTAGATGGGGAAACTGAGGCTCAGAGAGGTTGAGTAACTAACCCCAGGTTACCCAGCAAGGAGCTGAGGAGCCAGGACTCCAGAGCCCATGCTCCGGCCACTCTGCTGCACTGGGAAAAAGACCCCAACTCTAGAATTAGCTAGACCCAGATGGGAAGCCCACTACCACCTCGCTGTGTGGCCTTGGGCAAGTCACTGCTCCTCTTTGTGACGTGGATTTCCACAAAAGGGACAGAGAAAAGAAGGCCCATTTCTCAGAGGGCCTGGTGATGAGCAAGATGCGCGGGAGAGCCTTGCAGTGCTCGGTGCTGGGACATTGCTCTCTCCTCCCTGTGGTCACTCCTGGCAGGAGGAATGGTGCCACAGAGCAGTGAGGGGCATCGCGGGAAGGGAGTCAGGCCCTCCCTGCCATGGCCACTCAGCCACTCGGTGTGCTGACCCAGCAATTCTGGGAATTCAGAGGTGGGATGATTCAATTTGGGAAGAAGATCCCAGGATGAAGGGCAAGGCCCCAGCGGAGAGGAGAGGAGGCGCCCGCAGGTTTGTGTGACGAGTTGGGTGCCACATACTAAAATGTCAGTGGGCAGGAGGCTGAGTGTGGGAGAGACTAGGACCCTAGGTTCAGACAATGAGATAAGGAGCCTGGTCTGGCTGCCTGTGCAGGCTGGTCTCTGGTTTCCCAATCAGCAGGGGCACTTCAGGTTGGCAGGCTGGTCTTTGGCTTAGCATGCTTAGAAAACGAGTTTATCTGCCTGTCTCCACCCCTCCACAGGATGGTCAAATTGTTGGGGGCTGAAATAGACAGATTCTCCAGGACGTTGATTGACAAACCCACATTTTGCCAGTTTCTTCATCTGCAACATGGACCAGCCTGCTGGGCCAGATGACATTACTGCCCCTCCAGTTCCCTTCCTCATACCCCAGGCCCTGAGAGCCTAGACTAGTGACTGGAAGGTCCCACGTAGCAGTGTGACACAAGGACTTGGGGCAGTTGTTGGTGATCTCAGCCAGGCTGGGATAGAACACTACAGCACATGGGGGAGTGTGGGGGCTGGGAGGACAGAACCAACCTCTGAGTTTGAATCTCTGCCCTGCTCTGCATCTCCGGGCATGGGAACCGACCTCGGTGAGCCTCAGTTTCCCTATCTGAGAAATGGGGTTATTATCAGAATTTTTTTTATTTTTATTTTTATTTTTTTTTGAGACAGAGCCTCAAGCTGTCCTCCTGGGTAGAGTGCCGTGGCATTACAGCTCACAGCAACCTCCAACTCCTGGGCTCAAGCGAGTCTCCTGCCTCTGCCTCCCAAGTAGCTGGGACCACAGGCGCCCGCCACAACGCCCGGCTATTTTTTGGTTGCAGCCATCATTGTTGTTTGGTGGGTCCAGGCTGGGGATGCGAACCCGCCACCTTAGGTGTACGTGGCTGGCGCCTTAGCCGGTTGAGCTATAGGTGCCGAGCCTATTATCAGAATTAATTGAGATCTCATC